TGCAGATGAGCTTGATTTCCAGGAAGCACAAGTCTGTGTAATTAATGGACAAAGCAAGTACTGGATCACAGCTGTAAAAGGTTGAATATATATCTCATGCACTATGTTGAGTTTGCAGTTCTAACACAGGGGAAGGGACCTGCTTCTGCTGCTGGAGGAGAGCCCGGACAGTGACCAGGATATTTGGTGTGACACTTTTTGCGATGGTGTCACAGCTTGTCACGTCCGCGACGCGTTCGGACGCGTCGTTAATTGCTCTTTACTGCCAGAAAACCTACGGCGTGCTACGTTCATATTCACGCGTCACTTGATTCATAAAAGTTAATCTATATCAACGAGCGGATGCAATGTTGGTTGTACATTTTTGTTAAATGTACTTGCGGTCTCATTACCTCTATCTAATGAACTTGATGTTGGGAAATTCGGAAATTCAGAACCAACGTTGCATCTTCTGTATCATGACATCCCTGCCGGTACATTTAATATGCGTGATTTCAACATGCGGCAGGCTCTATGAAGGCGGGGGATTTGCGACCACTTTCTTGCAGAGTCCAAACAGATGCAAACAACTCGCCGCGCGACCCGGAATTGCGCCTCCCCACTGCTTCACTGCGCTACACCGTTTACTTGAAGTTCTCGGGCACCTTGCAATGTCGAATCCGCCGCACTCGAGCGGGGCCACTCCTCAAAATAGTGCGCATGCGTCGGGGACATATCCGTATTATCCATATTATAATTACTACCAGGCAGTTCAACATGCGGGCGGAGTGTCGTCGCCGTCGTCCATGCCAGGCCAGCCCTGGCCGCCTGGGGGGTTTATCAACGGTTCGAAACGGCCAGGGGAAGACCAGAGTGAATCAGAGCAATCGAAACGCGCAAGGACCAGCCGTGAAGGCGAAGATGAGGAAGGCGATACCACTGACAATGAAGAGTATAACGTCCCAGGGTCGGGGCGGGAGGTGCTGCCTTTGGAGCCCTCTGCCAACCGGCCGACAAGTAATCTATCCAAGCAAGTAGCCACAGATGTGTGGCGGTTTGTCCGACCGCTGCAGACGCGCGAGCGACCTGCCGTGCTGCCCCCTGACGGACCTAACTTGTATACCAAACCCGAGGCGCCGTTTGTCGGATGTAAATTATGCTCGTATGTCGAATTTGTCCGTGACGGTCTCCTCGAAATATTGAATAATAATGGCAACCAGAGGCTGGAAGACCTGGAAGTGTATTGTAGGTATGACCTCGACGATCCGCAATCATCTGCGTAACGCGCACAGGGAAGAATACGAACGCATTTGCCGAGAGGAAAATCTCAAATACGCCGGCGACGCCCCCCATCATTCTACCTCTGCCTCGTCCACCCCAGCAGCCCCGCAACCCCCACCTGGGCCTGCGCAGTACGCCTACACACCGGCGCAACCTCCACCGCCTGGCTTCGGTTATCATCCGTCGGTGATGCCACCGATGCACACTGACATCGACGGGACCGCGCCTGCCGGGTCTCCCGCTCATGGTCAGCAGTCCCAATCCCTCTTTGGGGAGCCCCCAAGGAAAGGTACAGCATCGGACGTCTGGCGGTTTCTGCGCCCACTGAATACCCGAGAGAAGCCCGCGGACTGGGTCCCGCCCGCTGACGAGCCGATCCTGTCGAGGAAGCCCGAAGCCCTCTTCGTTGGCTGTAAGCTGTGCACGTGAGTTCGGATAGGTCTTGTCGCTTCTTTGCAGAGCGGTGACCAGACTGTACCAGACCTCAATGGCGTGTCTGGAAATGCATCGACGGCATGACCTCCACAATTCGTGTGCACCTCCGCAAAGAGCACCAGGATATTTACGAACGGGTCGTCAAGAATGAGAACCTGAAGCAGTTGCACCCGCTGCAAAAGACCGCCGACTACTCTCCTGCCCTTGCTCACCCACACTCGGATCGGCCGCGGTGGGCGACGAACACCGTCGCGACGGATGTATGGTACTTTATGCGCGGGCTTGAGAACCGAGAGCAGCCGCAGAATTGGAGGGAACCCGTGAATGAGCCCATACTCGAGAAGAAGCCGACGACTCCGTATCTCGGATGTAAGTTGTGCACTCTCAGGTCTGTCTTGCGTTTTCTTGTCATTACGCAACATCACTCATGCTCTCTTGCCTTCTTACTCATTGCTAGAGGCCAGTGGCGCACTTGGAAATGCATCAATGGGATGAGCTCCACTATCCGGAAGCATCTGATAAACGAGCACGGCGACATCTATACCTCCGTCTGCAAGCAGATCGGCCTGAAAGGTCCTGTAGATGGGGAGGTACTGGACGACGTGGATGCGGAAGAGCGTATGAATGAGAACAAGAGTCCACCTGTCATTGACCCTGCGCTCACAGCGCCTGCCCCCGCCCCTGCCCCGAGCTACTTTTACGCCGTTCCTTCTACGACGCCTGCGGTCGATAAAGGGAAGGTACCCGTGAGGGTGCAGAAGCCGTTACAACGACCGGATAGAGCGTTTTCTACTGAAGGCTTCCTGGACAAACTAGTACGATATGTTGTGGCATCCGGGCAGGTGAGCAAACCAGGGCCGCAGGTCATTAATACGAATGGTGTCCTTACGATACTTACGTGCAGTCTCTGGACTTGGTGGAAGAGCCGGCGTTTCGAGGGCTTCTCCTCTTCGTGGGGCGTAGCCTTGCTGATATTGATTTGCCGGATCAAGAAAAACTATCGCAGCTCATTGAAGCAAGGTATCAAGTCGAGCAGAAGAAGCTCATTGAAGACATCAAGGTAAACTTCACAATGCCTGTCTGATTTTCACGCGTCAACTAGAATTGACGCTCCCAGCAGAGCGCACTGGGTCGAGTATCTGTAGCCGTCGAACTCACGGAAGATGTGCCACCTCGGTTGGCCATCACCGCGCACTACTGTGTCAATGAGGACGAGCGGACTCTAGCGTTGCGATCCCGGATGATCGCATATCGTGCAATACCCGGAGAAACTCGCAGCAATCCTGACGAGGTTGTCATTTCCGCCCAAGTCTTTGACGCTTTGCAAACGTTCGGTATTTGTGAAAAGGTTCGATCACCGCCTGCTCTGCAAGATGCCAATACCTGACGTGGCCGTGCAGATTGGCGTGATTACATTCGGGCATACCCTATTTGAGAGCGGGATAGGTGGCGAACTGAACGCCTTGCTCACCAACAATGGGTTCCCTGCTGCGGACAACTTAAGGTATGCTACGTTCTACGTCTTACTATTATTTGCTATTGACCACACGGTTTAGGGACTGTTTACCGATTGTGGACGATGCGATGCAATCAGGTTTGGATGTGCTGATGTCGACTCAACGTCCTCTTGGTACGACCATTGATCAGTCTTCTGAACTCAGCCTAGCGCTGCAGGAGAACAAACGCTACCGCGAAGCGTTAGGTCGAAATCCTATCTCCCGTGCTCGGGATCTCGTATCTGTTATAGCAGAAGACTCTGATCGGTTAGCGGTACTAGAAGAGCTTCGCAATGAGGAAGCCGACGGAAGTCTGCCCAGAGGGCTACTGCAGGAAGATGGCAGATGGTCTTCCAAATATCTAATGATTGAACGCGCATTGGCCTTACGACCTGTGAGTAAACGCGGCATCCCGGAACAGTCCTGTTTTTGATGTGTCTTCCTCAGCTCCTCAGTAAGCTGCTCAAGGACGAAGAACAAACCGAGATTGCTCATTTTCTTCTGGATGATGCGGAAACGGACGTTCTCAGCGATATCAAGGAATTCCTGCGGTGTGCCTACGCAGTCCATGAGATGGTCGGGGAGGAGAAGCTTCCGCTTGCCATCGTGGCAATCCCGCTGTATGAGCAACTGTTGAACGTCCTCAAGGACTTCCAGGAAACCCTGCCTGAGATCCAGTCTGCCATGTCTGTCACCACGCTAAAGCTTGAAGAGGCCTTGACGGAGTCCCGAAAGAGCGAGGCATATGGTCTATCCATAAGTATGTGGGATTTAAGAATTTGTGCCGCGGATTGGATGCTCATGTCTCTGACTAGTCCTGAATCCCACGGCCAAACTCAAATGGATGGATGATAACTGGACTGCTGAAGAACGCGACAAAGCCAAAGCATTGATACTACAAAAGGTGCGCGATTCAACCTTTCTCTGAAGTGTGGTGTGCCATCTCAACCATATTCGAAGATGTTGGAGCACCATCAGAAGTCCAAGGCCCAATCACAGAATGATGATTCTTCCTCCGCGACGCAGTCTGGCTCCGCAAAGGAGACACCTAAAAGTCTCTCCGCGCTGAATCGATTGTTGGGACGGAACTCCCGGCGACAACCTCACAAGCCAGGGAGAGCAACTTCCTCAACTGAGGCCGGGGAGGAGGCGACGGACCATAATGATGAGCTGAAGTCTGTGGAAGCCGAGCTACAGAGATATATCGAGGCCGGAGTCTTAGAAAGTGGCGACGAATACGACAATTTTGATATCTTTCGATATTGGAAGGTACGCAAGTTCTGTTAGAGGATATATGGGGCACGGAGTCAAACATTGACATTACACAAAGGTGCGAGAGCGGGGCTATCCTCTACTGTACCGAGTCGCCCTCGATGTGTTGCCTGCCCAAGCGTCCGTATTCACATCTGGGATATCGCAACGGACGTCACGTTTCTCAAAAGCAAAGTCTCGTTCAAGCAATCCCATGCTAGATGAGATGGTCACGATCCTGAGGTACGCCTACGATCCGGAGAAGCTCGACTTCACATATGGATGGATCGCGAAGGAGGATGAATTGCGTATCTCGGACGACCCTGTGGTATAGCGGGGAACAGCAGGTATATCGATTATGCGAGCAGAGTCGCACAGCCTGTTGTACAACTCCTGTATTGATGACAAATTGACAACAACATAAAGTAATACTACAAGCAGAGGGTATTGTACTGTAACATACATGCTATCAGCAATAGCTACGGACCGTCACCGTATCAATCCTAATTCTGCCAGATGGATCCGCTGTCGATGCTTCTGGTTCGCGTCCGGGGCGCATGAATTGTAGCTCAACGTCGTGTAGAATTGTTGTCCCCCGTCTTCTGGTTGTGGCTGAGGGTTGGAGGACAACGGGGATGACTTGGTCGTCTTCCAGGCTACGACCTTCTTTCTTCAGGTTGATGCTTATACGGGACATCATTGTCACCTGACGCCGAAGAAATTAGGGTCGATGCTCTGCTATAGGCTGCAGCCGACTCACCGTCAGACTAAATAAACAGCACCAGTATGTTAGCCGGCGAATCAATATCTGACAAATCTACTTACAGAAGTTCATGCCTATCGTACTCCCGTCAGTACCAGAAGAATGCCAACGCTCGAAATTCAACTCACTGTGCCATGATGTTCTTGAGGCCGGGATCCGCGACGATGATCATTATCGTGAGGACCAGCGTCACCGAGAAGATAACGCTATAAGAACGTTGGTCGACTGTTCCTTGCACGCGTTGCGAGGAGTGACGTACCTATAGTATATGATACCATCCGCTAGGAGCCTTTTAAATAAGTGACTACCAATGTTGTGTCGTACGGGATAATACGTCCGGAAGAACGTAAGACCAAGCACAATCGTGTCATACAGCAGCGGCAGCCAAGCCGAGGCCGAAGCTACCCATCCCCTGCATCGACTCGTCAGGTCTCCCAGCTCGCCATGGGCGTGGAATACGCACAGGTTTGGATCGAATATCATAGTGCAAGCTGGGGCAAGGTCATCACATGTTGATGTCGCGTGTTCAATGTCACTACTCACCATGGATGTCGCTAGCCTCGTGATATACGGCTACACATAGCCGTCAATGAGCTGGTAACCACGACTATGCGACGATTCAGACCCTACCTTGACCCATCGTCAGAAGCCACGCATTCACGGCGGTTGTCGCGATGAAAACCGCGATCACCCCGGTCATGACGTATATCTGACCATTGTATATCGCCTTCACCCTAGAGGTTTCGTCAGACCAATCGAGGTCGGAGAAGCAAAACACGTACCGTAGCATCATCATGATTGCCGTTACTTCAATGCCAATGACAGTCATGCTACCCTCATAGCGGACGAAATGCTGACACCTGCAATCCTGATATGAGATACGAACTCGCGGTCCAAATCGCAAACACTGACGTCTGGAGAAACTGATGAGTTAGCGCGCGAAGCACGGGTGGAGACATGATGTGAGCATACTTCTGGCGTCCAAACGGGCGATAAGTAGGCTGGAATGTAAACCCAGTCAGTCAGGTATGCAATCAAGTTACTTAAGAGATAGATGTACCGTATAAATTGATGATGAAGCCCAGCGGGGTCAAGTATCGGTTCTAGTGAGATAGCATCTTCTTAGCTATCACCTCGCCAGGATTATAACGAGTACCTACGAGGAAAAAGAGATACGTGACTGCCAAAAGGTATTAGCACGGTGAATATGAGAGCATCAAAATGGGAACTTACAAATGCTCTTCTTCCCCTTCCATATCAGCTCAACCTACGGTAACAAGAGTCAACGATGAGGTCGATCATGCTACATGCCACTCACCTCATCGCCGAAAGTGATGATGTGGTCCCATATGAGGATTGCAAAAGCGGCAAACCCCATCCGCTATTGCATTGGCATTCTGTGGTCAAGGACAGCAGCCTAAGCGCATGTGTTCGGTCACACTTACTATGGTTGTCTCCCTGGCAAGGATTGTGAGGCTTCAGCTAACGCTACAATACGATAAATTTCGACACTCACGTCCAAAGGTGATCATCATACTCTTCTTTGGAAAGCATGGTGAGGCGGCATACGTCTGCGCCCCGTCAGAGCGCGCGATTGAGCAACTACTACCAATAGGCGGTGACCATTTAATACGCACCTGTTGGATCCTACACAGCTACATATATATGGCGGTAACGGGAGGCTCAAGGAGGGCGAGACGCCACCGGTACAGCTGTGTGCAATATCTAGTGAATTGTAGTACACACAGTTATTGCTTTTTGGGCAGGTCCGGGGGTCATAAGACCCCCATTTGAGGATCCAGGCTGCGATCTGTTAGTGCGTTGTGTATAGACTTCAAATCTCGCGATGTCAGATGTAGAAAACCTGTTCCTGATCTTGATAACACTGTCAAGGCAAGCCTCGTGACAATTAGCTTTCTTAGCGCCGGACTAAAGGGCGGCACGCTGCTTGGCAGTTACTGGAAATGAGGAGCCTACCGCCAACCTACCACAACAAACGCTACAAAACAGATAAGAGCTGTGGGGTCATGAAACGGAGGCTATTACCCCGCCCCCGCGCCCCGAGGTAAGCTCCAGCTCACTCAAGTCGCTGATGCGGGGTAAGCATTAGTGTCACCGACTCGAGGTTGATAGAGACCAGCGGCGCTGCCAGGGTATACTTAGAGCCGTCATCAGACCGTCCAATATACATGTATGCTCAATAACATGTGCAATACCTTCGGACTCCCGCCCGAGTCGCTCCCCGGTGCTCCCGTCGCCGTCGTCCGGGAAGGCCAGCAACCGCGATCGAGAGAGGAGAAGGTACGCACGCATCAGATGCAGGACGAGCCGTTCTGACACCGCGGGGAATTAGTTCAAATTGTGGGGTGGAAGCGCGGGGAACAGAGGGGCTGCGCAAGCCACCGTGTTTTAACGCTCTGCAGAATGTAGGCCGATACGGTGACAGATCTGGAGGGGCGGGGCAACGACATGGGATAGGCCATTAGCCTTGTTGGACTGATGATATGAGAGGCTACAAAGCAACGCGGAGCAATCGACTGAAATTGAGCCGCGCGGGTCAAGCTTACAATCCCAGCCACACCCACCTTGCCATAATTCGCAACCATGCTGGCATCTACACAGCTATGAGATGGTTTGTGTTAAGTTGTCTCGCAACGAGCCGTTGGACCAACCCGGGCGCCAATGATAAGGACATCCACAAATAGAGCATAAATTATATACAGACTGAATTGAACGCACTCAAATCTATGAAAATGTAACCGGGAGATGACGCAGTCGATGTATGAGTGAACCCTGTCAACCGCGGGGATCAGCCAGACGCGGTGCTTCTATACTAGTGACTGGGTTAAGGGAGAGATGGGGCCGGAAGTCATACAGCGCCATGATGAGTATAACAGCGCTTTAACAGCGCTAACGTTAGTATCTACAATGATCATAAGGAGCGCAGAAGCCACTTGTATCGCGAAGTGCTTACGAAGTCGAGGCGTGCAAGCCGGCCAGTGGCGATATATGATCAGAACCATCCGACCATACTCCCAGACCGCCAATACATGCTACTCAAACGCGCGAAGGCCGACGGGCGCAATGCAAAGGCAAAGCCTATGATACCTATGCAGTATGCCACCATGATGGCTGAGCACAGCGCGGATTGTTAGCGTCCCATGCTGGTAGAAGCGAACAAGAGGACGGATGACGCACACTGCTTGTGGGCAGGGAACCGCCTGATCTCCAGGCCAATCTGCGGGAGGCCCATGACGTTGCAGAAGATGTGCGCGAATATGGGCGGGTAGATGGACCCTGTTATCAAGAATAGATAAGCGCAGAACGCGCCGAAGAGTGTTGTGTATGACAGTTGAAATACTGGATGAGATGGGTGAAGGCGTCAATCAGCGGCACGCACGGGGGGAACAATACAAACAGGTTGTCAAGGCTGCATTCTTCAGGGCAGTGCGTGTCCGCCCATAGCGATTGTATATCTCCCAGGCATGATGCAGGTGAGCTGTGTCACTATCAGATCTGGACAAAGATCCCAAGAAATTATATCGTACCAAAGCCGAAAGAGATCGGCGAGCCGAAGATCATCCAGGTCCTAGACGCACCGCCCAAGTGGTATAGCGACAGCACACAAGCTCGAAACACAATTTCTTCTGTTATAGGCCCCTGTACATGTAGATTGGCTTAGCAATGCGGTATTCAATTTGCATAACACGTACAAGAACATAGTTCCGAACGCCTTGCCATGAGATGAACGTATCCACGACATCCCTTCTCCACGAAAAGTAGAATTGAAACGGTAGATGTTCCCCGAGATACGATGCATAGATCGGTCCCAGGTAGAGCAGAGGCGCGAGCAGGAAAGGGTACACCGATTCCACAGAGGAAAGGTGGAAGCCCAGGCGGACTATCGTCGAGTAAAACACGCCAACCTGGCACGAAATCGTTTGGCCTCGACATCGCATTCTCTGAGCGTCCGAGGCACACACCTTATACCAAGATACCGCGCGTATGACTGCATATACCACGAAGCAGCAAAACACGGTAACCAGACTGACAATCGCCAGCCTAGCTCGGATAACGTCCGGGTCGTCCCTCCACCTCTCGTTGGCTCCCCTCTCCTTCGAACCGCCGCTTCCAACGCGTATGGACTTGTCTGAGAAGGAAAGCCGGGTATACTTCGAGAGATACAAAGACCCGACGTATGCCGCCGCGAACAGCAGGGTCAGCGTATGAGCAATCTCGAGAGAAATTGGCGGGGCAAGAAAGTACTCCAGCAGCTCTGGTTCTGAAGCCATTGTTGCGATAGTTTAGGTCGAGTGCAGCATCAAATATGTCTTGCTCGCTGTGTTATTGTTCCCGGAATCGTTGACGGTTGTACCGCAATTAGGTTGTGCATAGTGGAACGGACAAAGACAGACATGGCGGCACGCATGGTATTGCCCCCGTTTCCTTGTCTCGTCTGCAGCGTTCGTTGCCATTCGGAACCTTCACTAACTATTGCCTTCAAGAACGACGTGCATACTCGAAGAAGCAGGCTCGGAACGCCTGAACTTCAGATTCAGGAGGAAGCCATATATATCGCATGCATCCCAAGATAACATAGGCACTTATGCCTGCCAGATTTTGAAACAAGGACAGAAGTTGCACTACCCCGCCTACGGGGATGAACAAGGATTATAGAGTCGACAGCCGAGTCACTGACATCAGACGGACATATTAGACGCTTTTGTAATGCATACTCTATGAACAAAAAGCAAATATCCGATAATACGACTAGACTGTCCACACGTCACCGACCTACGTCGATTTGAGTGACGGGATAAGCAGACATACTGAAGACACTCACTCCTTAATACACCAGTGACGACATATCTGCGCGTATACGGTTGTAGTCTAATAAGCCCTCGAGAGGTCCGACAGCAGCAATAGCAATCTGACAATTGACATCAGCGACATAAACAGGCAAAATAGACATGAAAGCAGACACTTACATCCTGATCCCACAAGTACTTTTGCGCTACCCGCTGAATGTCAGCTACCGTAACAGCATCGACAGCCTGCTCGATCTGCTTTGGTGTCATCCTCCGCCCGCTGGTCACGAGTTGCCTGCCGACGTCCTCTGCAATGGCGGTGGTGCCGTCCAAGCTGAGGAGCAAACTGGCCTTCAACTGGCTCTTCGCCCGCTCGACCTCGACGCTGGTCGGGCCAACGGACATCCTCGTCCATTCGCGGAGCGTGAAGTGTGTCAAGTCATCCAAGTTCATGAGGTTCTCAGAGACTAGGTAGATACCCCAGAGGCCGGTGTCGGAGTAGGAAGTGGAGAAAGACATGTAGCTGTTGGCGAGGTTGTTCGTCGAGATAATGTTGGAGAGACGGGAAGAGAGGAGAGGGGAGGCGCCGAGCGAGCGGTCCCAGTTGCCGAAGATAGACTGCATGACGAGCATGGGGAAGTAGTCTGGCGAGCTCCAGCCTACGCCTTCCACTGCAATGGCGATGTGCGCTGTGGGCAGGTCATCATCGCGGACACGGACCTCGGCGCCGACGAACTTCGTCTTGGGGTGAGCAAGGCGGCCGAGAGGGATGGGGTTGGGGGAGACAGGGAGGGTGGAGAACTGCTTCTCGGCGAGCTTGACCAGCTCCTGGTGGTCAACACCGCCAGTTCCCACCAAGACCATCCTGTCCGCGGTGTAGTTGGTCTTGATATAGTTGGCAAGGTCGTCACGCTTGATCGAAAGGATGTTCTGCTTGGGTCCAAGGATCGTACGACCCAGAGGTTGGCCTATAACGGTTTGAACCATAACCTACGTACCAATAAGCTGCTCAGGAGACGTACCCGCGAAGGCAACAGAATGGAGATGGTCAAAGACGACCTCCTCCATCTGCTTATCAACCTCCTGCTGCTCCCGCAGAATAACATCCCGCTCCCTCTCGATAGCTGAGTTCTCCAGCTTAGAATTTTGCAGGATGTCGCTGATGATGTCAACAGCTTGCGGGACGTCCTTGCGGAAAGACTTCGCATAGTATACCGTCTGCTCCCGGGACGTGTACGCATTCAGATGAGCACCGAGGTTTTCAACCTCAAGCTCGAGCGCATGCTGACTCCGTCTGTTGGTACCCTTGAAAGCCATGTGTTCCAGGAAGTGCGCCGTGCCATTGGTCGCGTCCGTCTCCGCTCTCGAGCCCGCGTCTATCCACACACCCACCGTCGCAGTCTGAGCATGAGGATGCGATTCCGTGGCGACCGTTAAGCCATTGGACAGGGTAGACACCTCAGTGAAAGGGCTGTTGCTCGTCGCAGTCGCAAACAACCGTGTCGGCCTCTGCATCTCTGGTTAGCGGGAAGATTCCTCTATAATAAGAGAGAGAAGCATACCACACTACGTCCGCTCGTCCGCAAAGCACGCCCCAGCGACCCTGCCAACACTCGAGAAACCATTGAGTCTACAGCCTGTGCAGTTTTGACAAGCTCGAAAGTGTAGGGGTCGGGTATTCACGGCGTCTCCTAGGCTCGGAGCCAGCCGAGCTTTCGCCCATGTGGAAAGGGGAAGTATTAGTGCCTTACATAAGCGGAAGCTGGTACGGAGTCTGCTTTACAATCTCCTCCCCATGTCAGTGGGCACGACTTGACAATTGTGGACCAATTATCAATTCGTGGTCATGCAACGTCTTCGAGCCTGCGCCGCGTATAGAAGGGGCTGCGGCGACATCCATCCCGATGTACTCGAGCGGGTGGCAGCAAGCCCTCAGGCCTCAGGCCTCAGCTGTGGCCTCATGTCGCTCGGCGAACCAAGCCTGTACATAATCTGTGGCTTCGCACTCCGCGGTACTTTCGATTGGAGGCGTACACCCCCCGAGCGGAGATATTCAGCGCTAGTCATCCGAATAATGCGTAAGTTTTTACTCAAGGTCTTCACACAGCGTGCTCCAGATATGCCATATATCTGCGCCGACGAGATGCACCTCATTCCAGTTCCTTCGACGGCAGCTCCCGGCCCGCGGGCGCTGATCTGGTCTGGAATCACGACTTCTTACCCCGTCTATTGCTCGTCCTACTTATCGTCGACAAAAAGCCCGTACCCGACGGCTCCGCGCGCTCTAAAGGGTCATCATTGGACTATGTAATGGATGTAATTCAGACCCACCGCGATTGCGAGCGGGGGCACGTAAAAGTCAAACGGCACGTAATCATCCTCGAATTCGTCGCCGGCGCCATATATAACTGGCCATAGGTCGCAGGGCGATCTTCATGGAACGCTGCCCCGTCGAAATCATCTGGTCGATTGTGTCCCTGGCGTGCACTGACGGAGGTGCCACAGGATGTTCGCTCTCGCTTGTCTCCAGGGGAATGGCTCGCGTCTCTGAACCGTTCAGGTTCCAGTCAGTAGCTCTGTCTGGCTACCAGCAGATCGACGCTTTCATTAGCACGGTCCTCGTGCCCAGTCGCAAACATCCCGCCATCAAGCACTTGTTCCTGTCAGATTGCAGGGTAGAGAAGACCACGCAATACGGTGGCTCGACTGCCCTCAGCTTAGCAATTGACGCTCTGGGTTTCTTCGATCTCCTCCCAAAGATTCTTCGGGTTATTTCGCCGTCTCTCGAAACATTCTCTCTCATTTCATTCGACCCAGGCTACCACCGCCTGTTTTGGGACACGTTTTATGGTGTCAGCTTCCCTGCCCTGACAGATCTAACTATGAGAGTCTCCTCCAAGAGACCGATAGTGCCGTTATACTCCGGATCCTTCCCTCATATTGACGACTATCCCCTCGACATGCCACGATTAGAGAGGCTCCACCTCGCCTTTGCAGCCGACATGCTCAGCGGCATATACCAGTTCAATGCAGAGCTGAGCCCACAATATCCACTCCTGGGGGTCCTGTCTTCCCTCGCCTCTGGATCGTCCGTGAGGGCCATCCGCCTCTCCGACTTGAGCGATGCATCCAGGGTGCGGGCGGGTGCTAGCTTAGCCCATGTGTTGGGATTTCAAACCGCAGGCATGACTTATCGCCACCCTGCCCCCTCACTGGACTCGCAAGACCCATACCCGCGACTCCCGCGATTGCGTCTGTCTCAGCCTTCCCAGACTCGTGTAGTCATTCGGGCAGGCGGTGATCTGAAGAAACAGCCGCTAGCCGCCGCTCAGCTCGATTACCTTAAAGGGCTAAGAAAGGAGACGCTACTATCCGGCCCAGAATGCGATGTTCCTGACATCCGTATTCTTGGTTTCGGTTCGCCCATGGGCTACGCTGATTGGAAAACGGAATGGGAGCAGAGGCAGGGACTTTGCTCATTCGGAAGAGAGCGGCTGCTCTATGAGTAGGAGTGGGCTTTGGACTCGTTAATGGTTAACCTGGCTGAGGGCGCATGAGGCGCGTCGGTATCTCGGTATACGTTCACGATTAGAAAGTGTTCCGTCATAGAGATCGCATAGAATATTACCTGTGGCTGTTATCATTAGTTGCGCTAGAGCGTGTTAGATTTTCCCATAATAATCAGTCTTTCTCTGTGGTGCGCTTCGGGCCTTCGAGTAGCATGGCCTTACCTGTGAGTAGAACACGTTCCTCGGTCTGGCTCTGAACTCGAAATTCGAGGAGGGTCAATGGAGTTGTGGGGGTGGGCAACGCCGCGTCGAAATGCGTATGCTTATGTAAGCAATTGGTGGCGCAAAAGTGACCAATGCTGCTCCTGTTGCCCATACACAATCACCTCACTCTTCTGAGGTCTAAGCAGGCACTAATGAGTGTATATAACATAGTCATACCCAAAGGTAAGCCTATGATTAAATGTCAGAACTAATAAAATGACAGAACTCCCGGGCATTCGCCCTAGTCACATCACTGTCACACCGCGTCTCGCGCCAAATCACTTTTCTTCAGTCGACTACCGTGGACACTGTGCTGGCTCGTAGACTCACTTTCACGTCTAGCTTCAAACATGAGAAGTGCTCTATCAAGTAAGCTCTTGTGCGTGTTCAACCCAGATTGTCCATTGGGTACTTTTTTACTACTATTTATTTAACTATCAGCAATTTCCC